ACTTATAATTTTATTTAGAAATTCTCAGAAATTTAAATTCCAAAATTTTGTTCGAATGACAGAAATTAAATGTCTGCGAAATAAAACTAAGAGACGGGTAGCGTTAAACAATTAACAGAAAAATGTTTAAAAATCAAGCGGAAGATTTCAAATCGGGTTAAAAATGAAGTGTAGACAGAGTTTTTAATGGTTTATAAGAACATGACTGTATGTAGGAATAGGTTAGAAACGCAAATAAATAGTACTAGAGATAAGACTCAAATTTTCTTATTTTGTGCTCGTAAAATAGAAAAACAAGAGATATAATTTGCAGGAAGAGATCAGATAAAAAAAAGTTATGCTACCAATATACAACTAAACCAGTTCTTGGAGAAATTTCTTTTGAGTTATGAGTCACCATTTTTATGTCTATTGCATACTGTCCCATTCGTGTTTCAACCGTGAAGCAGTTGTCATAGCTGTGTTTCGGTTTGAATCTGGCTGAATTTACAACAGAGGAATAACATCTGAGTCCTCAGGAATGGCAACGCATGGGGGGTATCATGAGCGAAACGGTGTGCTCTGTTATGTTCATGGTGCTGCTCATGTCTATAGGCGACGGTTACCACTTTCCATCAGGTGGGCCGTCAGCTTGTTTGCCATTCTAAGTTGTATAAAAAAAAAAAATCACAATTTCCTGAATCTCTTCCAAGTACTGATAAGGAAAACAAATACTAAATAGTGTTCCCAAAAGTTTATCTACAAGGAAAATCCGTACCTTATTACTTTTTTTCTTATTATGATATTATATAATAGTTACCAAATTTTTTTATAAGAGCGTACAACAAGAAATTCTAAACGAATAAAAATAAATGAATTTGAGTATCTTTTCACATTATTCCATATGTGTATAATTGTTCAAAAAACCAAACCTAATAATGATAAACTGGAGCCCAACAATAAAATAAACCTATTCCATCGTTTCTTTAAGCTATGTGACCAGCTTATTGCCACTTTAGCTTGCTTACCCTTCGGGCTATGTCGGTCACATTGATTCTGAGAATATGCTCATTTCGGATTCTATCGCGCAAAATTGTGTTTTTATAGTTGACTTTTATAATGTCCTAGATATGAAAATAACAGTGAGTTACATTGCTCCTACTGTCTTATCACATGGCAGTTTTTAATTTATTAAAATGAAAAAAAAGAGGATTTATTTTATTAAGTTCATAACAACTGACCAAGTTAAAAAGTCGTTAACCGAATGACTCTCTAAAATGAAATTAACCTTCAGAAGACCTCATTGTTGGCAAGTCGTTTTACAACATCCCCCTAACCTTTTGAAAAATGATTATCGTTAAAGTTTTGTGACGTGAAATTTTAAAACAGAAGTCTCTCTCATTTTAACGGAGTTTTGACAAAGTTAGTTCCCTATAGATACTGGTACATTGTATAAGTTATACAATGTATGGCGGAGACAAAGAAATATGTCCTATACAATATAATAAATGCGAGGAATGTTATATATGGAGGGATATATATAAATATAAATATAGAAAATGGAGGGATGTTACTTTTTGAAGCAAAAACTACTGGACGGATTTCAATGAAATTTAGTATACGATTAGATTATATCCTAACTTATGTCCTAAGTTACGATACTTTATATACTTACTCACACAGCTGAAGCCGCGTTATACGTCTAATAAAATATAAAAATCCTTCTCTATATATAGTAATTTTAAAATCATAGATTTGAAAAAAGTTCAAAATATTACTTTGTAAAAATTTATTTGTAAAACTATATAAAACCCTATTTATTATATTTGTATCCCAAGCACAATTTTAATATTTATTTACTACACAGACTTAGACTTATTGATATATTAGTAAATAAAAGGAATATCTCAAATACTCACATAATAATAGGTTAGGTCGAAGCTAGAAAGCAAAAGCCTACCATTTATTCTTGAACATAGTCCGGACAAGTGACTGGACAATGTGTCTGGATAATTAGACATAATTATATGTTTTCTTTTACTTTTTAATGTATTTGTATATTTATTTTTTTACTAGAAACAAGAGCTAGAAGCCTATTTCTGTAAATTTTAAGTGTTATGTTTTAGTTGCGAGGTCATTAATCTTCCATCCACTCAGATTATTTTATTATACCATTACATAAATTTGTTCAAATTCTAGTTATTTCGTTATGGTCTTATGAATGCAAATTACAGATATAAAATTATGAATATAAATTAAATATTTTTCATTGACATAATAATATTATCGACATATTAAATTTCATATTAACATCATACTCCAATTAATGTTTTAATACATATTATCACCGACAGTATATGACAGTAATCAGAGTTGCTTTCATTTTAAACTCTCTTGATTCTTTCGTTTTTATCGGACAAATATTTAACTTTATAATTTCTTACAAATATATGAATGAAAAAATTTATTAGTGTAGTTAATGTCATAATTAAGCGTTACCATGCTATTATCTCATATTATTATTATATAGTAATCATTTCTCAACGTAGCCGTGTGGTCCCGGCATAGAATAGATCATCTTTTCCTTTCCGGTGGGTGTCATAAAGGCGATTAGAGGGATGGATAGCAGTGTACCTCTTAAAACATCTTTAAAAGCCTAATTACGGTTGCTAACCCGCCTGCCAAGCGTGGCAACTACTGGCTAAAATCCTCTTATTATGGGGAAAGCTTATGTTCAGCTTAATATACATTTAATAGCTGAAATGATAAATAATTTCTTAACAAGTATAATAATTTGAATATTAAATTATAAACACTGTGTAAATGGAAGAAAAACATGTAATTAATTATCTCATCAAAAAGAAACTTTTTTACACCACGAGATGCTAAACAAGCATACGGCCCATCCAATAATAAGCGGTTACCTTAGCCTATTATTATTAAAATTAGTATAATATCCTAATGGATGGTGAACAAACCGCACTTGTTAGCATGTGCAGTATATCGTACTTGCTTCGCGCGACGCTTGACACGTTTTCACTTTTGCTCCGGGCGCCCCAGTATTAAAACGGAACCGAGCACTTTTCTATACGCCGCAGTGAAAAATACTCTTTATTTTTAAATGCAGTTTGAGAAGGTCAAGTGTTGGTTAAATGTTTTTTTTTTGACACGTACACATTACGGATTACTAGACAGATTAGTAAAATAAACTTATTGTTTATTATATATTTTTTATGCAACTTAGAATGGCAAACAAGCTGACCTAATGGAAAGCGATAACCATCGTGTGGTTATTCTTGAGGACTCAGGTGTTATTCCTCTGTACCCTGTAAATTCACTGCCATATCCCACACTTCAAACCGAAACACAGCCATGCAAACACGATTGTTTCACGGTGGAAACATCAACGGGACAGAGGTCTTTTGTACAGTCTCCCTTTGGTGAATTATAATAAAAATTAAATGTATATGTATATCATTTAGACTTTTCAATTCATGTTTTAGTTCTCAGGAATGGAAACACATGGGGGATAACGTGAGCTAAACATTATACTCTGTTATGTTCTTGATACTTTTCATATCTATAGGTAACGGCCACCACTTTCCATCAGATGGGCCATCACTTTCTTTGCCATTCCATTTTGTATAAAAAAAAGTATTTATAGTATTATTAGAAAGATATATACAAGCATGAAATATTGAAACAAAAACCCGCTTAGGTTTTATCCGTCACTGTCTGAATACATTTTATCGCATTGCTTTGATAAACGATGTGTATTTGAGACAGTAAATGTAAGTAAAAAAATTAAAATTGCATAAATATTATGACATAATCCAAAAGAAAATTATTTAGAGCCATTAGCGATTACAGAAAACGCTTTACTGTTACAAATTGCTTCATAAATAAATCCTTTATTAGGAAGCGAAACATCAAACAGATTCATATGCCTGAGTGCATTTTACATATTTTATGATCTTATTTACATACCATATACACTATAACCAGGATGACATTTTGGATGTGCGCTTTAAAGTAATACCCGTTAAATACTGATTTTTATAGTGGACTTTAAAAAAGAAATAGTAATTGATTCGAATGTCTCTTTGTGCGATATTTTGATAATTTAATTTATTTTGATTTTTTAACACAATTTTAGAATTATATATATATATTTTTTTGATGGGTGAAAATGGTATGGTATCCCCGACTGCGCTAACGGGATACGCTGGCGGAACACCAAAATTATATATATTAGGTTATAACAAAAATGTACACAGGTGTATTTATAATATGTACATAGGCGGGCATATCCCTTGAAGGGATTTCTTCTAGTTAACCTTGAGAACTCAAAAATAGAAAATATCTATAGGGTGTGTATTTAAAGTTTGTATATGTATGTATATATTTGTTATTATAGCATGACATTTGGCCATATCATTCTGAAAACATGAAGACAACATTGCGATCAACCGAAAAGAGAACGTTATATGTACTCATAATAGTTGGCCGCACTATGCCGACTCACTAAGTGCTTTTTCACGCTACATTTGAAAGATTCAAGGTTATAGGACGAAGCAAAAACGTAATGGTAAAAGCCATTTCACATTTTTACCATACGGTTTATATAAGAGGTCGCAAACTTATTTATTTATCCCTTTATTCTCTGTCTATATTCTCTCTTTTTCTGCGCACACTTACACACACTTACACACACACACACACACACACACACACACACACACACACACACACACACACACACACACACACACACACACACACACACACACACACACACACACTCATACAAGTGTGTGAGAAAGTATAGGCGCGCGTGCGCATGTGTTGTAATGTGTAAAAACATAAGCATAACATTATATTATTAATATGGCATAAAGAAGGGCAACATATGAGTACCTTCTTGCTGATGTTGAAAATGTATATGTAAATGTACAGATATGTACAAAAATTTATTTAGTTAGATAGTCTTTTTTCTTAACTCGAAAAGAAAAACTACTCACGTGGTGCACTTTCCAGCGGTGGCGGTCGCGATCTGCAGCGCCAGAAGCACCGCTATAGCGGCCATGTTGTACTGGCAGGTCAGCGCATTTCCTTACTCGCCGGATATTGCGGTCCAGAAGTTTGGATCTGTAAGACAATTTTTCCGTTTAATCCTAAACTTGACTCGAGTTAGAACAAGTTTGTTTGAGATAAAAGAAGGCTTGAGCTTCTATTGATTTGATAAATACTTTGTACTTTCACGTCATAGTTTTTTGCCAGTTCTTTTCGGAAATCTGTTTTCTGAACTAAACGGTAGGAAACAATGTGGTAAAACTATGTTCTATATGGATACATTATTTTGCATTTTACCCGCATCTTAGTTTGTGTGACCGAGATATGTTATAATCCAAAATATTTGTATACTCGCATGTAAAATTTCATGACAGTTGATTTTACTTAGTAATGTTTTATCCGATATCTGTATATTAAGTTCTTCTGGACACTAATGACTTTTCACCCATAGCGATTTTGCCTATACTATTTGGATATCTATATTAATTGCGAACGGATTCTTCTTATCGATATATAATATAATTTTTAATAGACATGAGCAGTACCATGGACATAACAGAGTATACTGTTTCGCCTATGATACCCCCCATGCGTTGCCATTCCTGAAGACTCAGATTTCCAATAGAAAACATAAATGGAAACAATAGTTTAACACTGACAACATAACACAGTATTACTTAGGTTTTATATTGTTCTAGTGTATATATAAACTTGGTACTGTTGAAACTAATACGTTAATTTCACAACTTTATCGTATGTCCAAGTTTGTGACCAAAGTTTGAGAACATATTCTGCTAGATCAATAATTCTATACTAATATTACAGCTACAACTTAAGAGTTAGTTAGTACAGGCGTATTCTGAATAGTGGCCAAATTAAGAGCACTCGAAATGTATGTATGAAACTTGTATTAAAGAGGTATACGAATATGTACGGGCAACGAGATATTAATTATGGTATTTAGAGGTGTCTGTTTATTAGAATAAACGACAGACACTCTTTGGAATCAACTTCCAGCAGCAGTCTTTCCGAACCGAAACAACATCATAACCTTCAAAAAAAGAGCATATTCCTTTTTAAAAGGCCGGCAGGACACCTGCAATGCCGTTGGTGTTGTGGGTGATCATGGGCAGCGGTAGTCACTTACTATCAGGTGATGCCGCATGCTCGTTTGCCCCCTGTGTTGTAAAAAAAATGTGACAGTCACAAAAATCTCGACTATTTTCACTTCAACAAGTAGATTTTGACAACCCGCCCGCAAAACGTGGGAACTATTCCTATGCTTATGTAATGGAGTAGTCGACAATTTTCGTGTGTTAATTACTCGATCTATTTGCGCCAAATTTTAAAATTACTTTTCTATCGAATTTGATTTAATTATATCTGTGTTAACGACGCTGTGCTTTTTTTTACAAAATCTTAAATCGTTTGAAAATAAGACAGTTTTGCAAATGTTTTCAATCTTAGCTTAAAATTGTAATATTAAATTAATATTCTTAAAGTCTACTACTATAAAACAAGAAGGCAGATTTAGTTTTATTTTAAGACAATTACGTTTCTGATTGGAATAAACACAATACCGTAATCTCACATCTATAGTTTATTCCCCATTATCAATTATATTATTGATATGTATATTTATACTAACTATGTATTTTTATTATATTATTTATTATTTCAGCCGTTAACTGTCCATTGCTGGACATAAGCCTTCCCCATAATGGGAGTTTTGCCAGTAATTACCACGCTTGGCAGGCGGGTTGGCAACCGCAGTTAGGCTTTTAGAGATGTTTCAATAGGGACGTTGATACCCATCCTCGACCTCCTTTAGTCGACTCTTACGACACCCACGGGAAAGGAAGGGGTGGCCTGATCTATGCTGGGACCAAACGGCTATAACTATGTATACTAACTATTAAATATTTGCATGTCTACGTCGCTTTAGGCAATTAAACAGGTACCAAACTTAGTAATACGTGGCTTATATTAATAATTTTAAGATTTTTTAATGTAGTGTTTTTTAATCTTTTTCATGACGCGACCCCCTTATTATGTAAAAATATCTTGCGACCCCCTACCCTCCACGGTGTCGAATGTGTATGAATTTTATTATAGTACAATTATGAAATCCGTACACAGTTGTATTTATATTCACAGTTAGGTATCGATAAAATAAAATAAATAATACATAATAAAGTATCTAAAACAGACATGTAATCGATGTGTGTTATAGATACTTCATTATGTATTATAATATACAAGGGGTCGCGACCAACACTTTGAAAAATACTGGTTTAATGCAAATAAACTCATTTCATTTCATTTAATTATAACATAACGATATATTTAGTCAGGTAGGCCATCATCTTGTTTGTTACAACCAGTGATATAAAAAATACAATTTACCCGGACCATTACTAGGTCGATTCCGTCAATATATCAGACTTGGACAGTTAAAACGTTATTACTAAGTAAATAAACAGCGAAATGAGCTCATCTCACATGGATACTGCGTTTTCGATTACTCGTTCCACGTCTGGGAGCACTTAAACTTAGTAAAGCCGTATTTATGATACATAAAACTGTTTTACAACTTGTGGAACGCGCTGACCTAATATAGGTTGAAGTTTATTGAGGTCTTACACACGGCAGTGTTTGATTCTCCTGGTAGAACGTAATATAGTATGTTTTATCGAACTTCAAGGGGGGGGGGGGATTATTAGTAATTAACTACTACGAACTACCAGTCCCATTGCTAGCAATATACTCCGTTAGATCAACCTCCACGTGGTCTCCCTTGGAAACCATCGTGCTGAATCACAGGTGTATTCATCACGATAGGTTGACTGACATGCCTTTTCTGGGGGGAAGGAATTGTTATTTATGCGGACTACCAGTTCCATTGCTAGTAATATACCCCCTCTGGTCGACCTCCACGTGGTCCCCGCTGGAAACCATCGTGCTGAAGCACAGGTGTATTCATTACGATGGGCAAACTGACCTGCCTTTTCATTCTCACCTGTCATCCCTCACTAGTGCCCCGCCAGTATATACCTTTAGCGCGGGCGGGGTAGCCATTCCATTATCGTCCAATAAAAAATCTACCTTTCTTATTACGAGTAGAAACACCATACATATAAACATGTCTAAATATTATATCTGTTACCCGAAATACATCAAAGACGTGGTAAATGTCAAAAACAATAAATACTTAGACATGTTTAGTACGTGGTGTTCGTACTCGTGGTCAGAAAAGTAGATTACGTTTAGATTGGTAAAAGTCATAAAAGTAATTAGAATTTCCACCACATGTTGGTAGATTCTAAGATTTACTAGTAAAATCTAAGATTTACCCGTGTACGGGCTTTTACGGTAACATGTCTATTAATTTTTTGAATGCTGTCTAAAGATTTTTCTAAGCAGGCTCCCCTATCTCTTGTATTGAAACTACTCAATGATATTTTAATCCAGTATCCGCAATTGGATGTATTTGCGTCCAACTTGCTGGAGTTTCGTCGAGTGACCACAGAGTATTTGTCTTCAGACGTTTTTTATTTCAGTTAAGTATTTTTGTGTTATTTTTTGTTTAATATTTTTGTGTAATATTCCTTTTTGTATGTAATTGTACTCATGCTTTCCTGGGTGAGCGTATTGGAAGATTGTAAGGCTCACCCAGTGGATGTAATAAATAAATAAATAAATAAATAATCCATAAAAATAATCTTAACATATTTTTCATCTATATCGTTGTAATTGCTATCAAATTATTAAAGACAAACTGTCTCTTCTTCCAATTGAATGAAAGAATAGATATATTATAATATTATTCGAAAAGCCAAGAAAATAAAATTATTTTTCGGCTTTTGTCAATAAAAATAGTAATAGACTCTTTAATATGTAATTCTTCTTCGAGAACAATAGGTATTTGTTACATAATACTCAATCTCCTTGTTCAAGTATCAAATTATCTTATATATTAGGTGTACCGGTGAACCCAGAAAATGTAGTAACTCATTTATTATTTATTACAAATGGAGGGGAATGAAGTTTATATTATTCCAATCATACTGTATCTTGAATATGTACAAGAAATCCTGTACCCTATAATACGAGATAAAGTCGAAATCTAAATTGTATGTTCTATTATCTAATCTACGAGTTATAATATACCAATAAGCAATATTGTATTGAAAAGCAACAAAAATTTTAATGTACTCGTATAAATTCAATATAGTAACTGAACTGAACACATGATGATAGTAGACATGGAAAAGATAATTAGTACATATTTTTCATTACGAAAAAGATTTTACCACTAGTTTTTTTTTTTTTTTAAATTAAATTATTTATATTATTATTTCATAACCCATGCTTTTACCATATCCCACTGTTTAAACGAAAACACAGTTGTTTGGAGGGAAAATATGAGTAGACTGATGTATTTTCATTTAAATTACTTTATTGGCTAAATAAAAATATGGTACAAAAAGCGGATTTGATGTTAGTAGCATTCTTTACCAGTCAACCTTTTCGGACAAATAGCGAGTGAGTCACGAACGCGGTGCTTCATTATTATTATAAGTAATTTACGTATTATTTAATTGTATTGAGTACTAGAGGGAGACTTTGTACAAAAGTCGATTACTTGAATACCTCTGTCCCATTCGTGTTTCAACCTTGAAGCAGTTGTGGCTGTGTTTCAGTTTGAAAGGTGGGATATGGCGTGAATTTACTGGGTACAGAGGAATATTACCTGAGTCCTCAGGAATGGCAACGCATGGGGGGTATCATGGGCGAAACAGTATACTCTGTTATGTCCATAGTACTGCTCATGTCTATAGGCGACGGTTACCACTTTCCATCAGGTGGGCCGTCAGCTTGTTTGCCATTCTAAGTTGTATTAAAAAAAGAATTCTATTCATGTTTTGCAAACGACTATTGTACGAAGTTTCTCTCCAGTATATTTAAATAATAATATTTACAGGGTACAGAGGAATAACACCTGAGTCCTCAGGAATGGCAACGCATAGGGGGTATCATGGGCGAAACAGTATACTCTATTATGTCCATGGTAC